TCCGCCATCAGCTGAGGAAATAGGATCAGGGAAGACACGTAGGAGAATTTTCTCTTCCTAATCTTTTCAGTTGCCATTAGTGACCCAAAATGGTAAAACACCCAAATGTCATATTTTGATGGCCTGTTGTACCCACTGGGGGTCAGTCAGCTCAGTTGGCTGGATGGTTGGTTTGCAATGCAGAATTCCTGCACAGACTAAGATTACGTGGAAGTCTCAGCTTCTCAAGCTGCCACCTCATACCTCACCATATGCAAGATGACCCGCAGGTTAAGCCACCACCAACTGTCTCTCTCGGTTAAGAGAGTAGTATAGTAGCGATATCTTTATAACCACTAATAGATCCGGAAATACTCTCCGTCGATCGTTGTCCGCTCCTTTATCTAACTGCTCTTGTCTCTCATTGAGCTCTATCCTCACCTATTGCTTACTCTTTACACCCTCCCCCAACCCTATCTTCTGCATATAAACTGACATTTTCCTAGCTACCATCAGCTCTGAGGAATGGTCACGCTAACCGAAACGTTAACTCTGCTTTCTCTCTGCAGATGCTGCCAGACCTGCTGACCTTTTCCAGCAATTTCTGTTTATGAACAAATCTCCCTTGTACTCTACAAACAGAGGCTCGCAATTTTCCGAGACTTCTTAAAGGCGTGCACCTGAGAAAAAACAGAAAAATACTGCAGCTAGTATTAGTTCTGTTAATAATTCTGTCAATATTTGAAAGCTGCAGGCCGTACCGTGCGACCGTCCTATACTGCGCAATGTGGAACAATTTATTGTAACAAGATTGTGGCCACTAAAGGTCAACAGCACAGATTGAAGGCTGAATCGGGTTTTTTGCAAGTATTTGGTTCTGGCAAAACCCTTTTTATGATAATTTAATGGATGTTACAGGCAACAGCAGTGAAACAGCTTGTCAGGGAGAAGATTGCGATGAGTGCAGGTAGTGCAGACCACATGTACCTTTATCTTATAAGATTACAGCACCCAACTGGTTTTAGAGTGTTAGTCAGCCTTCGCCCTCTCATTAATATTGCAGCTTTCCTACGGTTAGTCATTTCAACTGAACTACTCACCAATCTTCGTGCTTTCTTACCTCAAAGTAACTTCCTGTTTAAGAGTCGAGTAAACATCCCACAGTGTATTGAAGGAACGTGATACTTAATCCATCACAATTTCCGGCCCATTTTATCAGCAGACAAGAGGAAGACCGATTTCTACTCTTGTAACTGAACAGTAATGGTTTAGACAGGCCCTGGTGGGGCATTGGAACAAACTCAAAAGGTCAACAGAATCCTTTTAAAATTAGGTCAAAATATCGTTATTGGGATATTGGTGCACCACAACCTGGTTGCCGATTTATAGCTGGAGACATTCGGGAGGAATGGCCAAAGAGGTCGCTTTGAATGGGAATTTTAAAAGAGTAGAGAAAGGTAGAGCTGCGAGGAGCTTTCGGGAGAGGATTGCAGATATGAAGGCCCGGGCAAGCGAAGGCATGATCAAACGCGTGGTCGACTGGCAGCCAAACACAAACACATTTGGGGGACTGCACATTACGATTTCAATACAATGGTTAGAATATTAGGGAGATTACACTTTTGCATTTTAGCTGAATCTGTCGTTTGTGAGCGAAATGTAGACTGTGTTTGGTGTGTCAATGGTGGGCTATGGAAAAGAATATGGATATCAGATTTATCAAGTTCGTGTCCACTGATTCTTAAACGAAACGGATTGTTTATTTAGGATATAACAAGGTGTAGAGCTGGATGAACACAGCCAGCCAAGCAGCGTCAGAGGAGCAGGAAAGCTTTTTCTGAAGAAGGGTCTAGACCCGAAACGTCAGCTTTTCTGCTCCTCTGATGCTGCTTGGCCTGCTGTGTTCATCCAGCTCTACGCCTTGTTATATCAGATTCTCCAGCATCTGCAGTTCCTGCTATCTCTGTAACTTGTTTATTTAGGAAGAACTTTGCGATCATGTCCTGAGCATTTCTCAAAATGCTCCACAATCAGTGGTTTAGTTTCGACGAGAAATTGTTCTTGTTTGTAATTATCTTTATGTAAGAATTATATAGTTTTAATTGTGTCATTTGAAAGTTGTAGGTAGTTTGAAATGGTGTTGTTTAGGTAACGCCTCTCCTATTCGTGTCGTTTGATAGCAGATACAACAGAGAAGTGATAGTGGGATGGAACATATCCAGAAAGAATCAGATCGGAAAATGTACTTTTTAGAACGACGGCGAGTATTATGAAATGTTGCAGTAACACACAGTACGCGGTTCACCCATCAGTGTTTTTTTTTGCTCAAAGGAAAATGTTACAGGGTAAGAACGTTGAATCTTGAGAACCAATCATTTATCGCCACTGTCCCAACAACTCCCAGGCCACTATTCCCAAGAAAACCCGCTAATGGTTATTGTCCATAGCACAATTTCCATCTTCTATTTGTAAATCTGGAGGAAACGCAGACAGCAAGTATGATGTTAACCGCAAAATTGCACGATGAGAGAAAACTGATTCTTGTTAAAACGAATCGTGCAACTTACAGATAGCAAGAACTGCCAACTCCACATTGTGTCGTGTAACTTATAAACTTGTTTGCTTAGGCCGTCGCTAGTTAGGTCCGATTTCGGTATTTAGGCGCAGCCGCTGATTTTGTTTTGCAGCATGGAGATGGGCGAAGCAACTCCACAATCCAATGTTTTCGAATACTCGTCACTGCCCATTGCGGAGTAATCGTACGGTATTGGCAATATTGAATTGTCAGCAGCATCCACAGTGGGGAAGAAATCCTTATACACATCTTAACAAATGTGATGTTTGCCTAAAGCAATTTCGGTAATTGATTAGGTCAAATCGTTTATAATGTGCGAAAATATATCACTTTGTGATTTTCAAAGTGCAAATTGCCATCGGCTTGAAAGGCTGTTCTCACGGCTGTTGTATTTCTACAGGGAAATGCAATGTTTTATATTCTTGTCTGTTCATTTTAACAAGCATGTGGCCGAGTTTGTGTCATTATTCCCATTGCACTGGTGCATCCAGGTCCAGACTGCCATCTGGAGCTGGAGTGGGATTCGCGTTATCATTGCTGTACACATGTAGCAACTTTCCAAAACACGACGCTCCACCATGAAATGGGTTCAAAAATAATGACTGATCTGGGAATTTGTTTGCTTTGTTACATCGGTGTGTCTGCATGTTGCCTTTTTGTACTCTGCCGGATTGCCTTGGGCTTTACAAATATGTTCCTGATCGCAGGGCCCGATATGAGTCTATCTCTCACTCTCATTACTTCCCCTGCCTCTGAGTCCCGATAATCGAAATTAAAATACTTGAAGACTTTATCTGTATGTCAAAACCAATTCGGAGTTGTTTTGTTTGTTACGAGGGTGGGCTTATGCTTTTGTTTCCCGGTACAATATAACCTCTCAGTGAAACAATTGAAAACCATTGTCAGCTGAAATAAGTCTTATAGGCAAATCGCCAAAAAAAACGCACAAAGAACACCGTTAACAGCATGTGCGGACAACAGCCCACTTCAAGCAAGTCTGTTCAAATTCAGATTATTTCTTACCCCTCAGAGTGAAATACACAGAAAACACAATATTGCCGTATTTGTGTTTACACAAAGGGACGTAGCCAGAATAAACCGAAAGGGTGAATATGCGATGTTGTGTTATACACAATTCAACAGTTTGAAAAATCAAGATGTTGTGGTTTGACTGACGGCGACCGATTCTATTTTTTTAAATCACTGCCTTTTTCATGTGTATTTTTCGGCCTAGATAATAACATGAGGTTGTGACTCTACTGACACAATAGTCCCTCTTTCTCACTAACCTTCTTTAGTCATGGGCTATCAACTGGTCAGTGAAAAATGTTACTCTATATGTAAAGACGATTGCATCTCGGAAAGATGTAATAAATCAGAAAAATTGCAAAACGACCATTTCCCTCAATCGTAAATCCAGAAGCGACATCTATCATTTTGTCTCTTCCTGGAAAGTCGCTGTAATTAATATCCATTAAGTAAGCAAGTAACACAAATGCTACAGTGATACCCACTCTAGTATTTCATTTAAATCGGCGTTAAATAAGTGAAGCTTTTACATGGCTGAAACTTGTTTGTTCCAGCTATCGAACACCTGGCTGTCTTTCTGCATGTTAACTCAAATTCACGGCGCACTTTGTTTACATGTGAATGTGTGAAAGCAACTTATGATGATAAAATGGACCGGAAATCGTGCTGAATTTGGTATCTATTAAATATCATGCTCCGTTGTTTCCCGGGCAGAATATCACTGCTTCAGGCTACAGATGGAGTGATGTGTTTTAACAGAGTCTGATGGCAAATCTTTAATTAACAAAAAGCAAAAGTGGAATTGAGTATAGATCTTGTCAACGCTTAGATTATCCACAGCCCGTTTTACTGCCCTACACTGCCATTCAGCACCTAGCAAATAGCTAAATTCCAAACTGCAAACCAACAACCGATTTTTCCCTGAATGTTGCGTTTATTGTATTACCAGCAAAAGACTCCTGACAAATCTCTTAGTAATATTCATTCCGTAACACTATATTAATTTGGATTCGTGTTGTCTATTTATTATTCAATTCTGTTTTCTTTTCTCCAACTCGTTTATTTTTTGCTAATTAACTTCGAAGAGGTTTTCAATTTTTTTTCAAACCGTTTACCTGTCTTCAGTCTAATTGTATCAGATATCCATGAAGTGGTTTGTGACAGGCCAAGTAGAAGAAATCGCTGATAATATTCATCTTGGGAGCACTTTCATTAAATGTAATTTATTCGACTTTCAAGCTACATTGAATGACATACTGACAATAGAGCCCTTTGCAGCTAACGGAAAGCCATGGCGTTTATTTCACTTCAGTGTCATTTGGTAAAATCCAACTCATGGACAAGACAGTCTCCGGTTTGTGAAATTTCTTCAACTGTGTGCGCAGAACGCCAGAGAGACTGTTTCAGTTTAGCTTACACAAGACTCAGTGTTAACGACCAGAATGAGCTTATAATATGCAGTGGAATGCTCTGCTTTCTGCATGCCAATTGCTGCAACAGCCGGAATTGGGAATGCCAAGACCATTTTGTATGGAAAGACTCGACAGCGAATTCGGTAAAACAGAGTGGCTTCCAATAATCCGGATCGCATTCACCAGAAACGAAACGCGCAAATTAACCCCAGAAAAGTGCCGAGTTTAGCACATTGTAATAAACGTCTGGGATTTGGATTTCTTGGTTGCACGTGAACCAATCCCCTATGTTTGACCAACGGCGTTCCCCGTATCTACCCGGAAATCCAAATGATGCTGTTTCAGAAGGAAAGTTATACACAAATTTATGTAGCAACTGAAACGCCATTTCTGTTCTAGCGCAACCACAAATATGTAACTCCTGCAACACAGCTACGCGCACTTACAGCCAATATTTCAGCTATCTTACAACAAATGTGCAGAAATCCGTCGGAGTGAAGACACTCAATAATTTGATATATATTGGCCATTAAACATTAAACCAAGCTACCTGGAATTTCAAGAGAAGCAAATACATCTCACTATTGTTAGTGTGAATATCCCCTACCTATTAATTAAGCCAGCTGAAAGGAATGCAAATACTATTGTAAACATTGGAGGAAAACGAGCAGTTATGCGCGCACATACTCCCTCTCATATATGTACAGTCCTCGTCCGAGTAAGACACTGCGAATATATTTATATTAAAGTCATCAATATATTATATAGGCTTCTCCATTATTAATAACGCTACTTTAGGATATTTTTCCAGTCAAGATTGAAGTTCAGACTTGGTTCATCAGTCAAGTAGTTTTGCAGCTACTGAGCCGGGGAAACACTGCACAGCGCCAACCACTGGTCAAACGCTCATGAATTACTTCATACCCTGGGATCACTGTCAAAGTCAAATAAAAAGGTCATGTACCAAGCCATTTCTCCTTCCAAAAAATACGTACCTGTGGAGAAAATGGTTTCAATATCCAACTAATGAAAAACTTTCTAGTTTCAGAATCTCTCAACGATACGAATTAAAGGATTAAGATAATATTGTATAATATTGACGTTATGTAACCTCACTAAATCAATAGTGACATTACAAACATATCCAATCCACTACCAATGCAACTGTTTATAAAAGTCTAAAGGGACATTAATCGAAGTAAACGTCTTACCCACCCTACGATCTCCGTCCTTAAGTAATCTCAACGATGGCTATTGGTCACTTTGAAAAGGGGGTTTTCAGTTATATGTATGTATTTTTGACAATAATCCCGTAAGGAAACGCTTCAGTGATCTGTCATAAATGTAACCGAATACACGCAGGCTTATTGTAGGAATGTGATATTAATGCTTGGTGACGAAGCCATCAAAATTAGTGAAAATTTGGAAAATATCCGCCAAGGCAGCTTTGGCATTTACTCTAGTGTAATTAAATAGGGTTCACAGCGATAAACACAAAGCCAACAGGCATTAATACATGCGTGAAATATGAAAAATGTGGGCAATGATACGAAATAAAAATATTTCACTTGTCCGTTTTAGCATAATTCTTGGTACTCAGGCCTTGCCCTGATCTGCACAAAACCGAAAAATACTTTCGGATAGAAACGGCTTGTTTTTTTTTTGTGCATTCCCTCAATTATGTTATCAATATGTACTATGTCTTCCCTCTCTTTCGCTGTGAAGGAAATCCTTTGCACACCCTGCATCCCAGCTTGACTCTTTCTGAAGGAATGGCTCTGAGCGTCTGTCCATTCCGCCAGCTAGGCGTATGCCATATGTTTGAGTCATCTCCCAGCTGATTGTCTTCATCCCTTTATAAAACAGCTGCCCATGGTTTCATGATTTCTTTCTCTTGCCCAAAGGCTTCGATCTATCCGGTGTTTGGCTAGAGTCCAGGAATTGTATTTTTCGAAGCCTGCAAATAGCTTATAAAACGGATTTCTCGTCATGGGATTCAGGACAGATCGAAGTTGAGTTCGGAGACCAAATAGCTGGAGTGGGGGCGGATGGGGAGGGGGGTTGTTGGCGTAGGTCAGATCTGCTATCTTGGAAAAAGAAACAACTTGTTCTTTTCAGAATAATGGTTCTCCAATTCCCGTTTCCTTCTATTGTCAAGAATTGTGTTTTCTCTTAATACACGATACGAGCTATAGATTTATGTCTCTCTATCGCTGTTCTCCTGAAACTGACATTGTACAGGTTTTGCTCCAAATAAACGTAAAGGGACTGTGAAAAGTTGTCTTTACAATCTCTATCTCCAGGTAACACGCTTTCAGTCAAAGTACAGGAATATTATGCAGACATTGTCAATTTGCGGCTTTAAGTTTACAATAGTTTAAACTAACTTGAAGGATAAAACATTATTTCTCAGATACTTCTGTTTCTCAATAAACATCATTGTGCTTAAATGCAGCAGTGATTTGCATTGGAGAATAAAATAAGCTCAGCTCTGTTCAATAGACATGTTCTAATGAATTATCTACTGCATACAGCCAGGTTATAGTGTTTGCTGTCCTCTTGTAACATTCATCCAAAATTAGCCAATTATGGACTGGCTCTGGGATCCGTGTGTTGAAAGATTTGCCATTTATTTTCGTCTGTGGTTGTTCAGTAAATAGAGACCTATAATATTCCAATTCCCTTTCTTCATTTAAACACTGAATTGCTTTATTGGAGTATTTGACAAAATTGTGTAAGCTTATTAGACGTTAAAACTACCATGTCTACACAATATTGTATACATAGCTTGTAATTCATTGGAAACTTAATTTCACTGGAGTAAGCTCAATAAAAATTAAACTGCCAAATCTTTTACTCGAGCAAGTTTGCACCAAGAAAGTATTACAACAAATGAAATCTGTAACCAGGCGTTAATTCAAACAACATCACTTGTAGGTTGAAGGATCCCAATTCATAATTTCGAGGAAATGAATGCGGGTGACTGTGAAAATTGTACCACATCAAAACAAGCATTGCGGCAATAGCAGAAAGCGTGGACTGCCACCTCAACATATCCGTGGGATTTAAGGTGTTAGGAAGTAACCACAGCCATTTGCCAATAAAGAACTTTTTTTCCTAAGAGTTGTTTTAAACGGCAGTAGGTGACTTTGGTAAATTTGATGTTTAATTTTTCACAGTTGACAACAACTGGAAGAAAAGGCCTCATGCTGCATTCCACAAGTTAACCATCAAGTACTTTATTTTTAATGTTTTCTAATCAATCGAACTTAGCTAACTAAATCTAACAATACAGTATAAGACACGCGCAACTGCAATGTGAAACATATGTATCCGACGGAGATAATTTTCGGTTATTTCTTCTGAGCTTCACATTTGTTCCTTTTCTACTTGTTTCATTAAATACACTTTCCTTAATCATTGTACCTCTTTATCAGTTTTTATCTCCTCTTTTCTATCTCGGTTATTGTGTCATTTTCCTGTGGTTTTTCCCATGTTAATTTATTTTTCTACTTGTTCCAACTATTTAAGGAACATCTCAGTTAAATTTATTCTGCAGTCCTACCTGAACAATCGTTATCGAGGCACTGAAAATAACTCGAGACTACAAGTAACTCAGAGTTATCACCACAAATTTCAACCTCAATATCTCACAGCACCACATATCGAGTAAGGTAGATGAAGAATTATAAAGGACATGTATGTATCCATTGTGCTGACCGAGGCACTCGGTCCCCGGTAATGAAAGAGATGCATTGCTCGCACTAAATTGTACAGTTAAGGGTGTTCTCGAAAAACACATTCCGTGATCTACAGCACTCTCTGTCGGCTCTGAGTTGTAATTACAACCAGTGCTATCTTTTCTCCATTACATTAAGCTACTCCACAGAGACTACTAGTGTAAGTGTCTAAGACTCGGGCATTCTTCGTTAAGACAAGTTTGGTTATTTTTAACCGTAAATGACCTTAAAAGAACCGCAAATATCTTGCATCACAAAATTTAAAAAAGTATTGTTGCTATCATGATTTTTTTTGCGACGACGTCAGGCATGCTCCTGGTGCTTACTGTATTGAGCAAAAGTAAATATACTGTGCTTTAGAGATGAAACTGAAGCGACAGAACACACATTAATGTTAACAAAGAAGAAACCAACAATTACTTTCGCTCATCGATCCTACATGTTGTTCCCCGATCTGTAGCATGTGTAATTCTGAGTGGGGTTTCCTTATTTCAGGTTATACATTTGCCAATTAATACACTGTCTCTCTGAGTCTCCAGTCAGATCATACTTTATCACTTTGCAATCAAAATTCGCTAAATTGGAATGCATTTATTGTCAGACCTAGGTACTGAAATAAGAACTTCGCAATCTTCCGGTAACGTACAATCCTATTCCGCCACCGATTGGTATACATCGGGATATTTAGTGTAAATACTAAGACTACTGGATTTGAAACTGTTCAAATCAGCCACATACCGGGAAAGGTTATCATTGCCCCTACGACATCCACTCAATAAACGAGCAGCATCAGAAACACTCCGTGATTGCTTCTTCCAGGTCCGAATTAAAACCTTCATATAGGCATACAGCCCATTGCCCGCTATAGCTTTTTTCTTTAAATATTGCATTTAAAAAGCGTCCGTAAACTTACCAAATAAAGACTGCTCTGAAGGAGAAGGACAGCGTACCAATAAACAGCCTGCATTCTCCCCTTTTAAACTTCCTCTGCTTTCCGCTTGCTTCTTAGCATAGATCCACCTTGTATTCGCCTGAGCAAAGAGGGATCTTTCACGAGCCTGTACATCTAAACAAAAATGAAATTATGGACCCCATGACCACTAAACAAGGTTACTTCAGTTAAAAAAAAATACCATTAAATGCGAATTAATCCAGCAAAACAGTGAAGCAATCTCATAATTCAGTGCCTGCCAAGTTTCAATTCAGGGACGATTAAATCTGATCATTGGTGATCAGTCCCTCTTTGCCGCCGCCTCAACTCGGTTCCAAACGCCAATCGAGCCCAGGCTGGCAGCACTCGAGCACGTCACCGCCCGTGACATCGGCAGCAGGCTGCCTATCAGAGGCTTGCAGCACCCACCCACACCCACAACCCCCCCCCCCCACACACACAAACGCACACACACACACACACAGACACACACACCCCCACCAAACCA